TGTCATGGCTCTCACTTCTTTAGGGTATATACCTAGTAATGGAATGGCTGGGTCAAATGGTATTTCTAATTCCAACTTTTGAAGGAATTGCCATACTGCTTTCCACAATAGTTGTACCATTTTACAGTCCCACCAGCAGTGTATGAGAGTTCCAATCTCTCCACAACTTTGCCAGCATTTGTTATTTCCTGTCTTGTTGAACTTTGCTACTAGTGCTGGAGCAAGATGGTATCTCATTGTTGTTTTGATTTGCTCATTTTTATCTTTTGCACCACAACCAGAACTCAGGTACATACTCTTTGAGGCCAATGAATGCTGCAAATGCCAATGGAGACTATTTCAGAAGAGACTGGTGGGCTTCCAGGTCCCCAGGCCAAAAACTAGTGTCATAACTATTAAGCACGAAATCATGACAAGACTTGGTGGAAAGGATAATTTTAGGTGACAGCAAAATTCTCCATCTTGCTCAGTCTTATTTCATCCACACATTGACAGCTACCACAGGTGGTGATGCTGAGTCCCTCCTCAAATCTTCCCCTTTTCCTTTGAAAAATGAATAGATTACCAGCCTCCTATTTTATTGAGCACTCCTCAGAAGGAAGTTTGGGCAATCTACTTCCATAGTGATTCTGCCTCAGAAACCCAAGGAGGGGTCGCTGAGTGGGTCCAACTCAACGGCATATAACAATAACAATAGTTTATTGGGAAAGGGGAGTCTGAGGGGCTGTTGTTGCTATTTTCCTACAACCACTTCTAATCAATCTCCTGCCTCTAGTCCTATTCCTCTCTAATTTATTCTCCCACCCTGAAACTGGATGATCTTTTGAAACGAAAACATGATCATATCACTTTTTTGTTGTTGTTGTTTAAAGCTATTTATGAAACTTATATTCCACTGGTGTGAAGTTCCAATGTCTTGACATGGTTTACAAGATATTTACTTATTTTTTCCATTTTCAAGTCCCACCACTTCCCTCCTCTTATTCTATGGTTCAGTCATATTGATCTTATTTAGTTTCTTCCAAACCACTTCTCTCATCTTGGATTTACACAACCATGTGTTTAGTCTGCCTGGAAATTTTCACCCCACATCTAATTTTTGTTTGTAATGTTCCTACTCATATTTCATTTAGAATATCAATTAAGAATATACTTTATCCAGAAAAGTCTCTCCTGTACTTTTAAATTCTAGTTAATGATCATCATCTATGCTTTTATAGTAACGTGAACTTTCCTATCATGGCATCCATTATGCTTTATTTTAAATGTGTGATCAGTTTTTTGCCTCCCTATTTGAGAGTAAGAGCTATATGTCTCTTGTTTACCACTGTATCTCTAACACTTAATACTATGCCTAGTACAAAGTTTATGCTCAAAAAATTGTGAGCAAATTAATTGATGGATGGATGCAAATAAACATCTGGAAAGCCCGAGTCAGTAAAACAGTTAAATTCAATTCCTCAACTAAATTTGGGTCTGATTTTATTAACATTTTTTTATGTTGTCAGAAACTAGATCGATCTTAATTTATTCACTACTATTTACTTTCTACCCCAGTTGGGGAGGTTTCCAACAGAATACCCCTAAATAAATGATACCATTTACCCACCCTGAAACATCCAGCCTCCCTCAAACAAAAATCTACAAATACCACATTCAGTTTCAAGTACATGATGTCATTTCATTCCGTTTTTTCTAAGAGTCTTTGCAGATAACTAGAGAAGACTAAGATCTCAGGTTCTCATTCCCAGTTTTCCTGAGAACTTCTTACTCGCTAAGTCAATTATTTGCAAGATTGCTGTTAACTATTTTTATTTGTTTCATAAATTGTCTTCACAATGAGATAATAACTAATTTGAGGCAGAGAATTTTGTGTGTGTGTGTGTGTGTGTGTGTGTGTTGTAAAGAGCAAAAATATGTTTTCTCACAGTTAGGAGCCTAGAAGTCTGAATTCAGGGTATTGACTCTAGGCAAAGTTTTCTTTCTCTGTTGGCTCTGGAGGAAGGTCCTTGTCTCTTTCAACTTCTGTAGACCTGATGTTCCTCGGATGAGACTATGTCTTAAATATACTTTTTCTATGAAAGACAGCTGTAGCAGATTGAGGCTTATTGTGTTAATAATTGAATGACAGCATCACATATCACAATGAATGTAACTCAGGAAAAAAATGTGGGAGAAAATGTAATTTAAATTTATCAACAACCATACGAGTCAAAAAACATTCTGTTTCATATTTATTTGACTTCGTCTGAAACCAAACAACCCTAGAGTCAGGTGGTGGCGCTGCAGGATAAGATGGTGAGAGTTTGGGAATACAGCGAACACTCTGGTTTCGATTAACCAGTGGAACTGAGAGCACCAAGAAGCAGGAAGAGGGAGGCTTTTAAGAGAAAGCTAGGGAGCCAATAACACCTCTCCTTGGCCGAATTATAAGTCTGCAAACCCTAAAGGGTTCAGGCTGATAGATAAAAGGAGCAACTTTCAGATGTGGCTGAGAAAGACTTGACATTTTCTTTAGAAAGACGTTTGGTAAAGGAGCCATGGAGCCGGGAGAGGGGAGCAGTCAGCAGAAAAGGCAAGTGCTGCTTTTCTTTGTTTTCCTGGCAGGTTGTCTAATGGGTTCTGAGACATTGCGATATTCTGTGATGGAGGAAATGGAGATTGGCTCCTTTATAGCCAATGTAGTGAAAGACATGGGTTTGGATGTGGAAAACCTGGCTGCACGCAGGGCCAGAGTCCTTTTTGATGACTATACACCACATTTGCAGTTGGATCTGCACACTGGCAACTTGTTCGTAAATAAGCAACTGGATCGGGAGGCACTTTGCGATCTCACTGAGCCATGTGTTTTGAATTTCCAAGTGTTATTTGAAAATCCTTTGCAATTTTTTCGGGCTGAGCTTTGGGTCAAAGATATAAATGATCACACTCCCACATTCTTAGACAGGCATATACTTCTGAAAATCCCAGAAAGTACTGCTCCAGGAAGCTTGTTTCAAATGCAGAGTGCTCAAGACTTGGATGCAGGAAAGAATGGTATCCAAAACTACACAATCAGCCCCAATCCCCATTTCCACCTTAAATTACAGGACAATGGTGAGGGCAGAAAATACCCAGAGCTGGTGCTGGACCAGCCTCTGGATAGAGAAAAGGAGCCTGAGCTTAGTTTCACAGTAACAGCCTTGGATGGCGGATCTCCTCCCAGGACTGGGACTGCACTTGTTCGTATTGTTGTCCTGGATGTCAATGACAACGCCCCCCAGTTTGATAGGCCAGTCTATGAAGTTCAAGTACCAGAGAACAGCCCTCTGAATTCCTTGATCATCACAGTATCTGCTACAGACATAGATGCAGGAATAAATGGAGAACTATCTTATTCATTTTCCCACGTCTCCAGAGACATACAGAAAACTTTTGAAATTCATCCAATTTCTGGTGAAGTTAGTTTAAAAGCACTTCTGGATTTTGAGTTAATTCAGTCTTATACAATAAATATTCAGGCCATTGATGGTGGAAGCCTTTCTGGAAAATCGACCGTTCTAGTTAAGGTTGTAGATGTGAATGACAATGCACCAGAAATAGCCATGACATCGCTTACCAGCCCCATACCGGAAAACTCTCCATCTGAGATGGTGGTCGCGGTTTTCAGAGTACGAGACAAAGACACTGGTGACAATGGGAATATGATTTGCTCAATTCAGGACAATCTCCCCTTTCTCCTGAAGCCTACCTTCAAGAATTTCTACACCTTAGTCATAGAGCAACCACTTGACAGAGAGACCAGCACAAAATATAACATCACCATCACTGTCACTGATTTGGGTAACCCCAGACTGAAAACCGAGCACAATATAACCGTGTTGGTATCAGACATCAATGACAACGCTCCCACTTTCGCCCAAAACTCCTATACACTGTTCATCCAGGAGAACAACAGCCCTGCCCTGCACATTGGCAGAGTGTGCGCCACAGATAGGGACTCAGGAACCAACGCCCAAATCACCTACTCGCTGCTGCCGCCCCAGGACACACATTTCTCCCTCACCTCTTTGGTTTCTATCAACGCAGACAACGGGCATCTATTCGCTCTGAGGTCGCTGGATTATGAGGCCCTGAGAGCTTTCGAATTCCGCGTGGGCGCGGTAGACGCAGGGTCCCCAGCTCTGAGCAGCGAGGCCCTGGTGAGGGTGGTGATTGTGGACGAAAACGACAACTCGCCCTTTGTGCTGTACCCGCTGCAGAACGGCTCCGCGCCCTGCACCGAGCTGGTGCCCAGGGCGGCCGAAGCGGGCTACCTGGTGACCAAGGTGGTGGCAGTGGATGGCGATTCGGGCCAGAACGCTTGGCTGTCCTACCAGCTGCTCAAGGCCACGGAGCCCGGGCTGTTCAGCGTGTGGGCGCACAATGGCGAGGTGCGCACCGCCAGGCTGCTGAGCGAGCGCGACGCGACCAAGCACAGACTCGTCGTGCTGGTGAAGGACAATGGTGAGCCGCCAATGTCGGCCTCTGTCACGCTGCACGTGCTCCTTGTAGACGGCTTCTCGCAGCCTTACCTGCCGCTCCCAGAGGTAGCCACGGACGATGCCCAGGCCGACTCGCTTACTGTCTACTTGGTCATTGCTTTGGCGTCGATCTCATCGCTCTTCCTGTTCTTTGTGCTCCTGTTTGTGGCCGTGTGGCTGTGCAGGAGGAACAGGGCCAGCTCAGTGGATCGCTGCTCTGTGCCTGAGGGCCACTTTCCCGGCCACTTGGTGGACTTAAGCGGCACTGGGACCCTGCCCCAGAGCTATCAATGCGAGGTGTTTCTGACAGGGGGTTCCAGGACAAATGAGTTCAAGTTCTTGAAGCCAATTATCCCCAACTTCATACCCCAGGGTGCTGAAAGGGAAATGGAGGAAAATTCCACCTTTCTTAATGGCTTTGGATTTAATTAGGGATCTGATTATGATGCAAAACCTTTAAAATGAGTCGTATTCCTTTCAAATTTTGTTCATTGTAATACGTACTTCTTGTTGGGTAACTTCATCTTAAGGAGGAGTTTTCAGAAATTTCAGTACCTAATTTAAGCCTTTCTTTTCTGCTATTCTTCATATTAACTGGGAAAAAGTTAAGGAAGCTGGGATTTGTGTAGCATTTTTTCCCCCTAATTTGACCTCAAATAATTTATTCAAATATATAACATTTTTTTTCCCTCAAGCTTAATTGCACACTCAGCCCAGTCATATTCTCTGGATGTTCTGGTTCTGGATTCTTCTGACAAAAGAGTTTTTATATGTTTTATGTATTATTATTGCATGTTTGATATCATTATAAGGAAAAATGCACGATGTGAATAAATATATAATTGCTTTACTAACTGGTTAGGCTAGAAGCCCTAGTGGCACAATGGTTAGGTGTTGGCCATCTAGCAGGAAAGGTCCGTCGTTCAAACCCACTGGCCAGCTGCTCCACAAGAGAAAGATAGGCAATCTGCTTTCGTAAAGATTCGCAGCTTTGGAAAGTCTATGATGCAGTTCTCCTCTGTCCTGTAGCACCACTAAGAGCCAACTCACCAACAGTGGGTTTTTGGTTTTCTCATTAGGCTGCTTTTGTAGACAGTATCTAATTTAGGATTTTTTTTTTTTTAAAGCATATTCAATCTGCTCTCCTTTTTTTTTTTTTTTTTTTGCCAATGATGCAAGAATTTTTTTTTTCATAGCTTAAGTATTTAACTTCATAAATATTTTGTGAACTACATGTATTGTTGGTAAATGTTCTTTTCTTAATATAAATGCAAATTCTTGTTTGGATTCTTAAGATATATATCTAGCCCACACTCTCCTTATCTGAGAGCTTCCTTGTACTACTCAAGAGAGGAAATATATATATATATATATATATATATATATTTGCTTCTCCTTGCCATTTTTTTAATTGGCAAGTGATAGACTACCGAGGAAAGCTGTCCCAGCCCCTGAATTTGCAGTTGAAGTATAGTGCATCTTTTTTTTCCCTCAATTGCTTGTAACTAGGAAATAAATGTTAAATGTAGGCTGAAGTGGCCACTTTTACACTTGTATAGACTGGAAGCACAAAACGGCATCTAAAGAGGGTGGGAGGAAGGAAGGAAAGAAGAGGGGGAGGAAAGGAAAGAGTTGAAGTGAGAAGGAACAAGGGAGTGGAGGAAGACACCTAGAATACAGTAAGACCATGCCACTTGATTCTAGACCTGTTAGTTCCCAGTTGTAGTCCCACCTAAGTCCCCTGTGTATTATTGCCCTTGGAGTCTATAATAAGACTCAAAGTGTCCTAATAATAAAACTCTTTTATTGAGACTATTTTTTGGGGGTGTCTTTCAACCTAAAGAGACTTGAAAGATACAGAAAGTCTTGAGTACTCAATTAGACCACACTATTAAGCTCAGTAGCATAGTGCCTAAAACACTTGACTGCTAACCAGAAGGCTGGCGGTTCAAACCCACCAGCCACTCCTCAGAAGGAAGATGGGGCAATCTACTTCCGTAGTGACACTGCCTCTCAGAAACCAAAGGAGGGGTCGCTATGAGTCGGGGACAACTCGACGGCATATAACAACAACAACAACATTAAGCTCAGGTGTTTTATTGCATGCTTCTAATATTAATGTAATGAATGGAATGAAAATGTACATTAGAGATAATCTATATCAGAGTCTCTCTCTCTCTCTCTCTCTCTCTTTTTACAAAATTTAATTTTGTATATAATGTATGAGGTCTTTTAACAGACACATGCTACAAAAAGTTTTATGGAATGTCATGTTAATTTGGGTTCCCTTGTATTCTTTTATGTGCTCAGAAACATTTAAAAATAACATTGAATTTCTTATTATTTGGGTATCATACCTTTTTTCAGGTTTATCATATCCTCTTTAGAAGATTCTTTCTTTTAAAAACTATTTACTGATTTCAGTGTGAACAAAAATATTATGTCATTTAATGTAAAATCCATGGGATGACCCATGATTTCAGGAATAGTAATAAATATTATTTACAGCTCCTTAAACTGTCTATGATATTTACATAATAAATGACTTCTAGTTGATCTATCACTTAAGTTTATACTCCTGAAACATGTGGTTGAATTTCTGTATCTACTGTCCTACCAGTAGATTGAGTTTAATGATGTGTATTCTTTAGGAATAGACTGTAGCTGCACACAATTGTTTGGTCCATTTCTCTCACAGCACTCAGTAGACACCAGAATAGACACTATATTGTAAGCTTCACGAGGAAAGGGACAGGATTTTTATTCCTGGCCCTTAGCACAATGCCTAGCATATAACATGAAATAAGTATTTGTTGAATAAATTAGTTAAAAATATAGTTAATTCTGTGTTTTAATCATTTCCCAAGTGTCTGGTACCATTTCCATATTCATAATATCAGTAAACTAAAAATTGCCATTTTTATTTGTAAACCACCTCATAATATGATACATGTCCCCCCCCCATAAGTCTCAGTAAGTGAAACATGTTTTGTATCATTTTTAGCAAAGTTGGTTTAAATACAACACAAGGTTTGTTATAAACTAAGGATGCAGAACCTAGACCTGTAGATGGTTACTGCCTTAAGAGAAGAAGCTTTGTTAAATGAACTGCATTGCAGTTAAATTCACAGACCCATCTACATCCCAAAAAACACAGTCCCAGCATAGGCACCTGGACTCAATGCTATGTGAGACCTTATAACACAAAAGGCTTTTGGTGTTGGAGAAATGGAGGCTGAAGAGAAGTGTTTTTCTAGATGAAGGCAAGCTCTGCTCTCTTTGGTTTGCTGATTCAGACTTGTGCAGGAGGGGGCATATTGTGGCAGAAGAAACAGAAAACAATTCTTTTGTGGCCCACCTAGCAAAGGATCTAGGGTTAGGGGTAATAAAGTTGTTGGAGGGAGGGCTCAGAGGGTCATTTCTAAGGATAACAAAAAACATGTTCATCTAAACATTCAGACAAGAGATGCAATGCAACACAACCACTGCTGTGGAGTCGGATCCGACTCATAGCGACCCCTCCCTGGGTTTCGAAGATGATATCACTATGGAAGTAGATTGTCCAACCTTTCTTCTGAGGAGTGGCTGGTGGGTTTGAACCGCCAGGCTTCTGGTTATTGGTCAAATGCGTTAGGCAGACAAGAGATTTGCAAGTAAATGAGAAACTGGATAGGGAAGGACTGTGGCTGCATTGAGCCCTGTGTGCTGCAATTTCAAAAGTTACTGGAGGAAGCTTTGGAGATACATAGTTTGAACTTGTATAAATGACCATTCCTGTGTTCCCAGAAGAGGAAATGATTTTTTAAAATCTTGGGAAATAGACTTCTGGGTCTGTTTCCCCTGCAGAATGCACAAGATTTAGATGTAGGCATCAATAGCATTCAAAACAATACCATCTACCCCAATTCCCATTTTCATGTTCTCACCTACTATGGCTCTGAGGGCAGAAAATACCCAGAGCTGGTGCTGGACAAAGTCCTGGATCATGAGGAGCAGCCCAAGTTCAGGTTAACTCTCATGGCAGTTGATGGCAGGGGCTCCTTCCAAGACCAGGACTGCTGTGGTCCTCACTGATGTTTTAGATGTCAACGACAATGCCCATGAATTTCTACAGCCAGTCTTTCCTGTTTAGAATCCAAAAACAGCCCCCTAAAATGCCTTATTGTCATGGTTTCCACCCAAGATTTAGACGTGGGAATAAATGATGAAATGCTTTTGCTGTTATGTGCCATCAAGTCAGACCTGATTCATAGTGACCCCTCCTTGGGCTTCCGAAGCTGTATCACTGCAGAAGTAGATGGCCCAACCTTCCTTCCGAGGAGTGGCTGGTGACTTTGAACCGCCAGTCTTCTGGTTAGCAGTCAAGTGCCTTAGGCACTATGCTACCAGAGCTCCTAAATGATGAAATAGTCTACATATTTTTAAAAAATGGTAATGAAGAGATTGCCAAGACATTTTCACTTAATGAACTCACTGGAAGAATTAAAATAATTGGGACACTAGATTTTGAGAGATTTTATATATGTTTATATGAGGTGAATATTAAGGCCTCGGGGTGTGTGTGTGTGATTCTTTCTGGAAAGCTCACTGTTACCAGACAGGTGATGAATATAAACAACATTCCAGAACTGACGGTGGCTTCACTTATGAGCCCCATCAGGGAAAACTCCCCTGAAACCATAGCGACTCTTTTCAGTACTCAAGACCGAACCCAGGAAATTGGAAGAAGGATTGATTCCATCCAGGAAGACGTTCCGTTCACACTGAAACCTACTGTTGAAAATTTCTACAGGCTACAGAAAGGAGCGCGGCAGAGAGAGCAGAACGGAGTGCAACATTACAGTTGCCAGTTTGCGGGTCCCTAGACTCAAAACAGTAGCCATACTAGTCTCGGATGTCAATGATAATGAACATACTTTCACCCGGGTCTTCTACAACCTGTTCATCCGCGAGAACCACAGCTCCACTCTGGACATTAGCAGCATTAGCGCCACAGACCGACTCAGGCATCAACGCCTAAGTCACCTATTGGCTGCTGCCACCGCAGGACCCATTAACTCCCAATAGCCTCCTTGGTCGCCGTCATTTGTTCGCTCTGAGGTAGCTGGATTAAGAGGTCCTACGAAAGTTCGAGTTCCACGTGAGCGCTGCAGACACATGCTCGGTGGAGCTGAGCAGCAAGGCGCTGTTGCGCGTGGTGGTCGCGGACGACAATGACAACTCGCCCTTCGTGCTGGTGGGAAGTGGGAGGGGAGCTGTTGCGTTGTGGTAAATTGTAGTTGATGTCATGAGACAAAGTGTATGTGAACTGCTGTATGGAAAGTGAATTTGCTCTGTAAACTTTCACCCAAATCACAATTAAAAAAAAAAAAATGCTGCTTTTTCAGAGCATTCAGGATGAAGATTATTTTAAATATGCTAGTTTGCAGTATCTATTTGGGTTTATATATACTTTCTTGGAGGTTTTGGTAATTTCAATTTCCTAGTTGAGATTAGGAAAAAAAATTGAGTACTGTACATCACAATATTTGCTACATTTTATTATTTCAATTTTGGAGACAATAGAATCTTCCATTTCATTATTGAAAAGTCATGACTATTTTGTTCAATCAATCAACCCTTTAATTTCAAATTCTATTGAATGGAAGATGATCTCAACTTCATTCTCTGTGATTATTGTTCAGAAAGTTTTTCTAAATTCTTGATGATTGTAATTAATTAGAAGACAATCATGATACAAGTACAATTAACAGCTTCTGTTTAATCTGCTATTGTGTTTACTGGTTTTTTGTATTTTCAAATGAAGAGATTTCTGCAAAAACTGCATGGTTTTGTTCCACAGTGATATTAAATGAAAAAAAAATATATATCTCCCATACTTACAATCTTCCTCCGCTATCAATTTTCAGTATATAATATATTTGAATATTATTGACAGCTAATTACATCATTTCAAGATTTTTAAAAATAATTGACCCCTTTTGTGTCTATCCTTTTGCTTAGGGGGAGCACTGTACTTTACCATTTAATGAAAAAAACATTTTAGATCATTCTGAGTTACTTCAAATTACTATAGGGCAGTTCTATTGTCTTATAGGGTTGCTATGAATCAGAATCAACAGGATGTCACTTGGTCTGTTTTTTTTTTTGGGGGGGAGGGTTGTTTTTGTTATACAATAGGCATAGAAAGTAGCTACTTGGGAACATGGACTACCAGAAGAACAAACAAATCTGTCCTGGAAGAAGTGTAGCGAGAATGCATCTTGGAAGCGAGAATGGCCAGACTTCATTTCACCTACTTTGGTCATGTTGTCAGAAGGGACCATTCCCTGGAGAAGGGTATCATGCTTGGTAAAGTGGAGGGTCAAGAAAAAAGGGGAAGGCCCTCAACAAGATGGATTGACACAGTGGCTGCAACGATGGGCTCAGATATAGCACGGATTGTGAGACTGGCGCAGGACCAGGCGGTGTTTCATTCTGTTGTACACAGGGTCACTATGAGCTGGAGCCAACTCAAGAGCACCCAACAACAACTTGGGAACATGCTGTTTTGTTTATTCAGCTCATGTAATGAACTAGGAGCCCAGCGAAAGAGCAAGATTCTTCAGTAGGTGGAGAGATTTCATCTGTCAGACATTTTAATTGTGATTTATGCATTGATCCATTCAACAAATATTTGTTGAGCATCTGTTATGTGTCAGGCATTATTCTAGATGTTGGGCATTCAGCATGAACAAAAAGTACTCAAACTCAGTAGTGACACAGAAAAGAAACAAATCTGTAAATATATACTGTGTCAGATGGTGATAAATGTTAGGGAAAAGATACAGAGTAAGGGAGATAGGAAGTGCCCTTACATACATTTTCCCATAGTTTAACATTTTTATAAAATCAGCGCTCTGGATTTATATAGAAAGGATATCATAACCTGGAATGGAGCTTTTCCTTGAAATAACTCAACCAATAAGAATGACAATTCTGATACAGAAGCCACTTTGAATTTGAATGAGAATGTCAAGTGAACCGGCACACAGGTGAATCTAGAGGAATTCATCTATTTTTCTGAAAGCATTTTAAGAATCTCATGGGCTTATGTTTTCACTATTTTTACAAGAGGACGGATCACTATTATGTCTTTCACTTGTCAGCTTCCATCGGAGCACCCACCAAGATCACAGGCTCTAGAAAGCAGTGACCATTTCCAGGTTATATACTTGAAATATACTGCTTCTCAAGACCTGGCACATAGAGATCAGCAATGCTTCTTTGAATGAAGAAATGAATCTACAGTTGTGTGTTATTATTACATCAATTCCCAAAACAATTTCCAAAGTCTTAATGGCAGAATATATGCATTTATGTGTATTACATATACATATACTCATACACACGTATTCTGTATATGTACAACTACATTGTTCATTTTAGAGAATACAATTTTAGCAATTCGTTTGAAATCAAAGACAACGCATGGTGGCGCTGCAGGCTAAGGCGTCCCAAAACCAAGAAGCTACAGACCGTACTTTAGATTTCCAGCCAAGAAGAAAGCCTGTAGCAGAGCTCAGGACCAGTAAGTCTCGAGAGAATGTTACTCACTGACATTTCTGGACAGGTTATCAACTGACAGATCTATATTTGTCTCAGTCCCTTCGCTCTCCGAAGTAGAACTGGGCCCCGTTCATCCAAAGGCCTTTGCGGAAGTAAAGATGGAGGCCGAAGGGGAGCGCTTTCTTAAACAAAGGCAAGTGTTTGTTCTGTTTCTCTTGTTGGGAGTGGCTCTAGCGGGCTGGGAAACCCGTCGTTATTCTGTGCTAGAGGAAACCGAGAGCGGCTCCTTTGTAGCCAACCTGGCCAAAGACCTCGGGCTGGGAGTGCGGGAGCTAGCTGCGCGGGGAGCCCGGGTGGTCTCTGAGGATAACGAACAGCGCTTACAGCTTGACCTGCAGACTGGGGAGTTGATATTAAATGAAAAACTGGACCGGGAGGAATTGTGCGGCCTCACTGAGCCCTGCGTAATGCATTTCCAAGTGTTACTGAGAAAGCCATTAGAAGTATTTCGAGCTGAGCTCCTGGTGAGAGACATAAATGATCATTCTCCTGAGTTTCCTGAACCAGAAATGACCCTGAAAATCCTAGAGAATAGTCCGAATGGGACTGTGTTTCCCCTGAAAAAAGCCCAGGATTTGGACGTGGGCAACAACAATGTCCAAAACTACAGTATCAGTCCCAACGCTCATTTTCATGTTTCCACCCTCAGGCGGGGGGATGGCAGGAAATACCCTGAGTTGGTGCTGGACAAAGAGCTGGATCATGAGGAGCAGTCTGAGTTCCGAATAACAATCACAGCTCTGGATGGCGGCTCTCCGCCCAGGTCTGGCACCGCGCAGATCCGCATTGTGGTCCTTGACGTCAACGACAACGCTCCGGAGTTCTCGCAGAAGCTCTACGAGGCGCAGGTCCCAGAGAACAGCCCTGTAGGCTCTCTAGTCGTCAAGGTCTCCGCTAGGGATTTAGACACTGGGACTAATGGAGAAATATCATACTCACTCTTTTATAGCTCTCAGGAGATAAGCAAAACTTTTGATATAAGCCATCTTTCAGGAGAAGTTCGACTCATTAAAAAATTAGATTTTGAGGCAATATCCTCATATGAACTGGATATAGAGGCATCTGATGGCGGAGGGCTTTCTGGAAAATGCTCTGTCTCTATTAAGGTGATGGATGTTAACGATAATTCCCCGGAACTAACTATTTCATCACTTAGCAGCCCTATTCCCGAAAATTCCCCCAACACAGAAGTGGCACTGTTTAGGGTTCGAGATCGAGACTCGGGGGACAACGGAAGAATGATTTGCTTCATCCAGGATGATCTCCCCTTTCTTCTGAAGCCATCTGCGGAGAATTTCTACACCCTGATCACAGAAGGGACGCTGGACAGAGAGAGCAGAGCCGGGTATAACATCACCATCACTGTGACCGATTTTGGATCCCCTAGGCTGAAAACAGAGCACACAATAACAGTGCTGGTCTCCGACGTCAATGATAACGCACCTACTTTCACCCAAACCTCCTACACCCTGTACATCCGCGAGAACAACAGCCCAGCCCTGCACATTGGCAGCGTCAGCGCCACAGACAAAGACTCAGGCACCAACGCCCAAGTCACCTACTCGCTACTGCCACCCCAGGACCGGCACCTCCCCATCGCCTCCCTGGTCTCCATCAACGCAGCCAACGGACACCTGTTCGCTCTGAGGTCGCTGGATTACGAGGCCCTGCGAGCCTTCGAGTTCCGCGTGGGCGCGGTGGACTCAGGTTCCCCGGCGCTGAGCAGCGAGGCCCTGGTGCGCGTGGTGGTCGTGGACGATAACGACAACTCGCCCTTCGTGCTGTACCCGCTGCAGAATGGCTCTGCGCCCTGCACCGAGCTGGTGCCCAGAGCTGCTGAGGCGGGCTACCTGGTGACCAAGGTGGTGGCAGTGGACGGCGATTCGGGTCAGAACGCCTGGCTGTCCTACCAGCTGCTCAAGGCCACGGAGCCCGGGCTGTTCAGCGTGTGGGCGCACAATGGCGAGGTGCGCACCGCCAGGCTGCTGAGCGAGCGCGACGCGACCAAGCACAGACTCGTCGTGCTGGTGAAGGACAATGGTGAGCCCTCGATGTCAGCCACCGTCACGCTGCACGTGCTCCTGGTGGATGGCTTCTCGCAGCCCTACCTCCCGCTCCCGAAAGTGGCCCCAAACGAGGCCCAAGCTGACTCGCTCACCGTCTACTTGGTCATTGCGCTGGCGTCGGTTTCGACACTCTTCCTGTTCTCCGTGCTCCTGTTCATAGCGTTTAGGCTGTGCAGGAGGAACAGGGCGGCCTGGGTGGGTCGCTGCTCGGTGCCCGAGGGACACTTGCCAGGCGACTTCGTGGACGTCAGCGGCACCAGGACCCTGTCCCAGAGCTACCAGTACGAAGTGTGTCTGACGGGAGACTCTGGGAGTAATGAGTTTAAATTCTTGAAGCCTATCTTTCCCAATCTTCTTGCTCAGGATCCTGAGAGTAAAACAGAGGGAACTCCCAAATTCCGGAGTAGTTTAGGTATCTGAAACTTCCCCGCTGGATATATTAATTTTGTCTCCTTTACTGTCTCCTCCTTTTTGTAAGAGCAGTAATAATCTTTAATTCTGCTTTATTTTCTCTACTGTTTTCTTTATTAATGTTACTCTTAGTTTTATTGACTGGAATGTCCTCTAAATTACTTGTTATTTTACTAGTAAAATGTTATCAGGAAATTTCATAATTTGTATTGCTAATTAAATTTTTAGTACTCATTCTTGAAGGATAATATGATGGTTTACTCCTCCTAGTAATCATAATTCTAATTTTAAAAGCGTATTTCCATAGTGATACTGCCTTGGAAACCCAAGGAGGGGTAGCTATAAGTCTGATCTGATTCCAGGGCAGTGGTTGCGTTTTGCTTTTATTTCCACTATACGAGTCTGAGGAGCTCTGGTAGCATAGTGCCCAAGGCACTTGACTGCTAACCAGAAGGCTGGCGGTTCAAACCCATCAGCCACTCCTGGGAAGGAAGATGGGGCAATCTACTTCCGTAGTGATACAGCCTTGGAAACCCAAGGAGGGGTCGCTATGAGTCAGTCGGGTCTGACTCGATGGCACCCAACAACAACAACATATGAGACTGTGTAAGAATTGATTACTCTTTTTGCTCCTAGTTTATTTTCTAAATGTTGTAAGTCTTTTTAGTTTTTATTATTTACACAAGTAAAGCTTTTATGTAATCCATGTTCAGTTTGGAGTGGATTAAGTACATATTTATCCATACCCAGTTTCTCCTAATACCTTTGTTTGGATTTTTGTTTTCCAAACACATCAGTATGTATAATTTCAAGTTATTAATTTAAAAATCTATTAAATTATAACTTGCCATTATTAGACTTTTGCTCTAAAATACTTGTTATCTCTTAAAAATATACCTGAATCATCTATTCTTTCTCATCTAAACCACTGTTGAAAGGACATAGGTTCTTCCTTATCTCTGAAATTATGATCCTGGTAAGGTTCCTGAATAGATTTACTGATACCCAGATGGACTGTGTTTAAAGTGTTTTCAGGTACTCAAGTGACCAATAGACTCTAGGTACAAGTAAGGCCTGCAATTTTCTCTTGTTATAGCAGGGAAATTCTGAAGTGAGTTCCAAATGCGGGGCCTAGAGGGGCTTTTGATGGTACAGACTGCCAATATCTGTTTGCCTTTGGATGATCATATTGCTCTGGTTGATAAGGCATCTGAAAGAAAATAAACTGTATAATTAACAATAGTTAACAAAACCAACATTATTAGAGGATTTGTTGGTTGACGGGTTTGAATGATTTGGAGAAATAATTATTTATGTTGTCAGGACTACTCTATCTTCAGGAGCCTCTTTAGGGGATAGTATAGGATGGTGTGGTTCATGTCCTAATCACGGGCCCCATCACCTGTGAAGATGTTATGCTATGTGGCAAAGAGGAATTAAGGTTCATATGGAATTAAAGGTTGCTAACTGGCTAACCTTAAACAGAGAAAATATCCTTATAATCTGGATGGGCCTGATTCAATCATTTGGAAGACATTAGAAGTGTAGCTTGATTTCCCTGAGATAAAGAAGTCCTGCCTTTGGACAGCAGCATCAAGTCATGCCCCAGAGTTCAAATTTTTCTCTTTCTGATGGCATGTCATATGGATTTTGAACTTTAAAATAACTTAATTCCTTACTATAAATCTCCTAACACATATTTCCTACTTCTGTTTCTCTGGTTGAACCCTAACTGATACAGACTTTAGCATGTCGAAGCAGGGGGCTGCTGTAACTGAGAATGTGGAAGTAACTTTGGAATTGGACAAGAGGTAGAGGCTGGAGGAATTTTGAGGAGCATGATAGAAAAAGCTTAGAGTGCTTTGTACAAACTATTAGTATAAATGTGAATGTTTATAGCTATGCTAGTGAGGAATTAGAAGGAAGTGTAAAGCATAGTGGAGAAAACATATATTGCTTTTAGAGAATGACTAAATCATTGTTAACTGACTGTGGAAAGAAATATGGATACTAAAAACACTACTGGTGAGGGCTCAAAAGGAAATGATGGAACATGTTATTGGAAACTTGGAACTGGCAGAAAGCAAATCCTTGTTATATGGTGACAGAAAACTCAACTGAATTGGTCCTGCAGTTATGTGGAGAAGACTTTGTAAATAATCAACTTGCATATTTAGCCATGATTTCCAAGCAAAGTGTTGAAAATGCAGCCTGGTTTCTTCTTGCTGCTTATAGAAAAAGGTGAGAAGGATGATATAGGTTGAAAAAAGAACTGTTACCAAAAAAGAAAGAAACAACTAAGACTTGATGGTTTGGGAAAACTTCAGTCTATTCACATTGCAAAATAGCTGAAATTAAAAGAGTCACTATCAAGAAAGCATGTTCTGGAGATAAAACTAAGGGTATATCTAGAGAACCTTTTGTTAGTGCCTCAAAAGAATCAAAGAAGGCTCTTTGAAGAGATTAGGCATGTGGCACAACCATCTCAGCAGAAGCCAGGATAGAGATGACATTATTCAGAGAAGAACTGTGAAGGATATTCTTGTCTAATGGAATGAACTCCTGTGACATACATGGGGGCTCACAAGATTCTTAAGAATGTTATATCACCAGAAACACTTCCAGCTTGGACTGAAGGGGACAGAAAAGACAAAATGAAAGGTTATTGTGCCCCAAATTGTACAGGCAAGAAATAGTTCAATAAAACGATACAGCTTCATATATGCTATCTCATGAAAGGAAAGGCTAATTTACAGAATTGAGTGTCAATCTCAGAAGGCAGTGCTGAAAGCAACTGGAGATTATTCTCAGGCCTTGAAAGCAGATGAAAATTGCCTGGACGGATTTCTTCATTGCTTGAAATAGGTGACTTGTTTTTACTTTCTGTTTTCTCCTTTTTGAAGTGGAATGTTTATGAAGTAATCCTATGCCTTTCCTAGTATTATATGACGACAGGAGACAATTTGTTTAGTTTCAGAAGTCCACAGATGAAGAGGATTGTGCCCCAGGATGCATCATATCCATAGTATTACCCACACCTAATTTTAATATAAGAGCTCTGGTAGCATAGTGGTTAAGTCACTTGCCTGCTAACCAGAAGGCTGACGGTTCAAACCCACCAGCCACTCCTCGGAAGGAAGGTTGGGCAATCCTACTTCCGTAGTGATACTGCCTCGGAAATCCAAGGAGGGGTCGCTATGAGTCGGGGCCGACTCGACGGCACACAACAACAACAACAATTTTAATATTAAAAAAGAAAAAGAAAAACTCACTGTTGTCAAGTCTGATCTGACTCATAGCGACCCCTCCTTGGGTTTCTGAGGTAGTATCACTATGAAAGAATAATCATCCAATCTTCCTTCTGAGGAGTGGCTGGTGGGTTTGAACGAACCACCAGCTTTCTGGTTAGCAGTCAAATGCCTTAGGCACTATGCTACCAGAGCTCGTAATTTATAATATTTAGATGATAATATTTGGGATTTTTAAAAGGTGAGTCTTAAATGAAATTTTGGACCTAGAATTGATGCTATAATGGATGAGATCTTTTAGGAGCTGGGCATGGGTTGAATATATTTAAATTCAGAACAGTTATAAATCTTGGGGAGTCTGTGATAAGAAGAAAAATGGCCCCCCAAATATGTCCATGTCCTAATTTCCAGAACCTGTGGGTATATATTTTGTGACAAAAAGGAATTAAGGTTGCAGGTGGAATTAAGACTGCTGCTAATCATCTGACCTTCTACTGAGATGACTTAGTCACTAAAGGGGTGAGTAGGGTAGGCCAATGTATGTAATCACAGTAGTCCTTAAAAGTGGAAGTGAGGGGCAGAAGTCAGTGCTAGATGATGTATTATGAAAAATATTAAACTGTCAGGCGGCCATTACTGGCTTTGAAGATGGAATGGGCCCATGAACCAAGGAATATGGGCAATCTCTATAAGCTAGGAAAAGAGAAAAAAAAATATCTTCTAGAACCTATAGAAAGGAATACAGCCCTGCTAACACGTTGATTTTAGGTCAATGAGATCCATTTGGATTTCTGAACTGTAAGATAATATATTTGTTTTGTTGTAAGCCATGAAGTTTGTGGTTTACAGAAACAATATGAAACTAATATAAATAGTTAGTAAAAAAAAAAAAAAAAGCCATTTCCAAGCCCATTTTTCTCTGCTTCTTCCTACTCTAGCCAAAATATTCCATTTTCATAATCCCTTGCATATGACTGTTATTGCCAATGATTTAAAACTGCAATTGGGTGGTTGGGCTTTAGGGAAATATTTTTCAAAGGGCTAGTATGAGGGAGCATGTTCCTTAGGTCTTTAACCTTTCTTGCTTTCTTGACTGGGATCAGTAGTGAAGTGAAAGCCTGGAGTTGAACCAGCTGACTTGCAACCATGAGGTGAATACCATAACACAAAGGTCTATACACTAAGGATGATAAGATAGAAGGATAGAAGGCCCCTAAATTTCTGATAATACTGTTGAGCCACTGAAACAATTCTCCTAGGATTTCTGTTGCATGATGTAAATAAACGGTCATGTGCTTAAGCAACTGTAGCTGGATTTTCTGTTGAATGTAGACAAATAAATTCCAAACTGGTATGCCACTTCTCATGAGTAAGGTTTATTTATACAGTGTTCTGTCTGGGTCTCAGGTTGTTTATTGAGGATATGTGAGATACTTGGCAGATAAGTAATTTTGCATTCCCTTATATGTTACCAAGTGACAGTATGCTGAGATGCCTTTTTTTCTTCATTCAATCATCTTTTAATTGGGCTAATATAAAACAGATACAGATAATTGAGCTATTCAAAGGAATATTAAAAAAAACTTGAGTTTAACAGGATAGATTAAGACAGTGATCTGATAAATGTCAGGCATACTTTTAAACATGCGTTAGTGATGTTAATGGACAAGATGACATGGATGTTATACAGTAATCTGTAATACCCATTTCCCTCTCAGGGAAAAACATAGCAGACTCAAAACTTTTACTTAGAGAAATAAATGAAGTAAAGCTAGGTCCTGAAAAATCTTCATAAATATCATCAATTCACATATTTTGGCGGAAAATGGCTGATTGAAAGATCAGACATGATTTCTCCTTTATGGCACCTAGAACAGTCTTGAATATGGATGACAAGTCATTATTTGGTAGTGAATGGATTTTATTGAGGGCTACTAGAATAATCTTCCATCAACACA